AGCAAAGCTGAAGTTGTTTAGCAGTGAACCCTTGCAAACAATTACCCACAAATAACAGCTCTTCCAAAGACTGCTCAAGGAAATTATCCAGCCAGTGTTTCAAACTACACATCAAATTTAAGCAAATCAAGGCAGGGTTGCAAACTACTTGCTACCATGAAAATGAATTTAGGAGGAACTAAATATTCATACGTGGAAGAACAACTGACCCTGACCCACTAAATTTTATGGGCTATATGAAAATAATTTCAGCTATGATTTTTCTGAAATATCCTGAATTTTTAGGTGTTCTTCTCCCCTTCCTTGCAATACACTTATTTCCTCTTCTCCTAAATATGTGCTTGCAGTAAAGAAAAACAACAACAGCAATACCTGACTCTGACTTTCACACTACCAAAAGCAAACACAGAAGCAGGTTGGGATTTTTTTGGTGCAGATTCCGTGTCAGCTTTGCAATCAATCAGAGGTCTGGCAGAAATCCAGAATTTCTAAAGGAATTAAAAGCAAATTTCAATTTTCTTTCAAATGAGGAACTCTGTTCCATAGGTTCATGAAGACTAAATGACTTCAGTCCCCCCTACATCGCAGATGTGAACACACAAAGCAGATATGGGAAAGCTGCCCCAACGTTTGAGCTGCCTGAATCCTGTGTCACAACCCTTATACCTCAAGATCACACTGTACTATGACAGATTTTGGGACACGTAAAGGCTTTAAATACATTATATTACACACTATGCTTTAAATATATTTTTTCAAATGGCCATGTAAGATTAAGATTCATATGCATAAAATGGTAATATACATTGTAAAAATACATATATATTCATGTGTATATGTATACATATAAATGGAGAACCATAAATTTAAGAAGAAAAAACCCCATAAATCTAAAAAAATGACAAATATAAATCAGTGAAAAAAGTTAAATGGATCAAAAAAAATTTCAAGAGTCCATTTCATATTTGCAGTGTACACAAAGTACTTCCAGTTGCATGACTCAAGTTACAATTTTTTCCCCACACAAATGAAACAACAGCTAAAGAGCCATTTCAGCCTCACCAACTCACTTGCAGGTGGGTGAAGTGATTCTGACTCCCCAGCCCAAGCTGAGAAAAGTTTCCATCTGCTTTGTATCTGTATGAAATGCTCACAAATGTGAAGCAATACACAGTGGGCTGAAAAAACAATAAGCTCAAGAGGAAAAATAATGAAATTGATCAAAACTGGAAGAACGATGAACTCACTCCCACCCTAAAGATATCCAAACAACCAAAGGACTCTGTTAGAAAAATGAACATCGTGTTCAGAAAACAGGAAAGAACAGCAAGACATAAATCAAATAAAAATATCATGAGATTGTGCTTTAGAAAACCACATGGGTTGCACTGAGTTCTGTTCCTACAGCCCCATACAGAGCTGGTTAACTCCAGGCAGCCTAAGGGACACAAAAACCCCACGTGTCCAGAACCAGTGCAGGTCTTATTAGCAAGAGCTCGGGGTGGCCACCTGATTAAAAAGTGAATTTAGACAGGTAAGAAAGAAATCAGCCATACTCTGTACTTTACAAGGAATAGAAATGGAATTTGTACATGAACCTGAGATGAAACACAACACCAGGAAAGGTATTATGAAACGTTTGCTGGGCTGAGGCTACAAAAACCTTTTGTCAGTGTGAGGTTCAAAGGCACGTAGAACGGTCTGCAAAGCCATGATCAATAAGGATAAAAACATCCCCTTGGGAATCAAGAAATTATTAGATACCATGGAGTGGCCTGAAGGGATAGAAAACTTTAAAGGGAGGAGGGAATTGAAGGCTTTGACTCCTCTTCTGTGAGGTATTAGTGCAGAACGTGCCTGGGCTGTGGCCTGGAATCAGATGTTCAGCCAAGCACATCCTCCAGTGGATGTTAACAGCAACCAGCACCCAGAGGACAGGGATATCCTATGCACCTCCAAAAATACGTTTTTTAAACAGATACAACGGTGCTGTGACTGATTTAAACAAACATCAGCCCTAAAATCTGTAAGAAGAGACAGGTTTTGCATCTGCACCAGACGTCGTCAGGTTAAACATTTTTCCCCTGACTGAGGATATTCTGAACACCTACAAGCATATGGTGGGCATGAAGCTTTAGCATTCCTCCAGTAGCACCACAGACACAGCCAGAAGAGAGCTGGGACCTCTATAACTTAGATTAATTGCTTATTATGGGTAGGAGGAGAGGCAGTGTGGGAGTGCTGCGGCCTCAAATAACAACTGAGAGCAGCCAAGGCACTCCCCAGAGCCCTCGGGGCTGAGTCCCTGAGTGCTTCCCCCTGCTCTGATGTCTGTCCCTCTCTGGGATCCCACTGTGTCCCCTTCCCCAGGAGCTGCCCTGACCCACAGCCCTCCGGTATCACTTACACATTCCTGCACACAAGGCTATGGCAACGCCCCAGCCCATTTTAAGCCTCACTTCTCATTTTTCTGTCTCATTTTTCTCTGTCAGGCTGTCAAAAAGCGCTGCTGAACCTCCAGGCTCAGTGCCTGGCCACCAGCACCAGGGGCTGTCACCTGCCACCAGTGCAGGACACCACAGGGCTGTGCAGCTGGCTGCAGATTTTCACTCCTATCTAAGGTTGAGATTAGTCTGCTTTGACACTGATTTCATGGCACAGGGCTGCCAAGCACCCCTCACTGGTGTTTAAGGATAGGCTGGGCTGTGTTTAAGGATAGGCTGTGTTTAAGGATAGGCTGGGCTGGCCTGCAGACACCAACAGAGGAGATGGAGAGATCACAGATCATTCCCTGAGCTGCAAGAAGCTCCTCCACAGAGAGAACTCCCATGCTGGGACACCACAGTGCCCTGTGTGTCACCAGGCAGTGAGGGAGAGACACTGCACTGCCTAGCAATGTGCAGGGATGTGGCACTGGAGGGGTATCTGGGAAGGAAAGTAGGAATAAAATCACCTTTGATGCTGCCCTCCTCAGAAATGCACTCAGTATCAAAGCCAAGCAGCAGCAGGAGGAACATTTCACTGAGAGCTCTCCTAAAGCAGCTGTGAGAGGTTCCCTACCATGCAGGCAGCCTCCTTCCTCCCCTCCTTGCCTCCCCATGAGCTGAGAGCATGGCACTGTGCTAGGGATGTGCAGCCTCTGCCACCCTCTGTGCCCCAAAGCACCGAATGGAACAGGAGAGACAAAAGGGAACAATAAATATCCCCCTGTGGAGCTCCTGCACAGAATCCAGCAGGTGGGAACAGTGCTCAGCCTGAATTTGGTCCCCTCTAGAGGATATCAGCTTCTACTGGCTATGAACAGGTAACTGGAAATTATGGCTCCACACTGTTTTTATCCCTGTTGCAGTTCAAATCTGCAACTGGACGGACCACAAACAAGACAACAAACATTTTAATTCTGTTTGGAATGAAAAACGTGCAGCCCTAGTTTCTGCAATCAGATCTCCAAAGCTAAACAAGATAGTTATGATTTCCAACTCCCCTAGTCATCAGATTGCTGCAGCACATCCCTATAAAATCATTCTTTGCACCAATGATTTGCCACATAGTGGTGCAAGGTCTTTGGAAGAAAAGTACTTGACTGAGAAAATGCTGTTTAAACAGTTTGGAGTTTTCCCCAAAAATGTGTTGCTGTTTTTTTCTGTTACCTCCTAGAAATAATTGCTTCTGCAAGCATGTTGGTTTCCTACACGTTAAACACTCAGCAAGCAAAATTATTCAAACATAATTTTGTGCGAGCCATCTTCTCTCAATATTTAAATTTAAAAGCAGAGCCCATTAGTATGCCTGCCTTTCTCCTCCCAGTTTTTCCTTCTTTTTCTGCCCTCTGGCATGGCAGCAGGAGGTAATTAGAGTGGCCAGTGTGTGGCTGAGGATGCAGCACAAAGCCCGGGCCAGGAAGGAGGAGGCGAGGTCCATGGCAGTGGCACAGCAGGCTGCAGGATCAATGCAGCTCTTCCCCTCTGCCTTTGCTCCTTTTCCCTCAGCCTTCCCATCCAATTGCCCTGGTGGGAAGTGTGCTGCACCACAAGGAGAGGTCTGACAGCAAGGTTTTCTGTGCTCCCTTTTGAAACCTGCCTCTTGTCAGGCTCTGGTCTCTTGTCCGGGGGCACACAGAACACCCTCCAGGTCCTGGCTCTGAAGCAGCAGAGGAGCAGAGTACTTTTCTCTCTGACTCTGCCTGCTGACAGAGGATTTGGCACTACCATTCATGCTAAAAATACTTTTACACTCCTTCAGTAAGGGTATGACGTTTTAGTGCATTGTACAAACCGAGTCTCTTTAACACTACTTAACTAAAGCTCTTCTTTCACCACGTCTTCATTATGCCCTTAGGTGTCAACACACTCTTCAGCTGCTCTCTCTCAATGAGATAATTCTTATCTCATCATAGTGATGATGTTCCAGAGTGTGTTGAAAACCCAGGATTAAAAATGAATGTTTTAAATGCAATTAGGAACATTGCACAAGTTGAAAATTAATTCCTAGTTCACACATTGATCTAAGAGGGAGTATAAGTGCATTTTTAGGTCTGTGAGCACTACTGAAAAACAAAAAAAAGAGATTACTCAGATGATTAAAGTTAACATGACTTGTCAGAGAAGAGCCTAAGTGTATTTGGACCCAATTCAGAAAGATACTTAGGAACATGGCTGTCTATAACCTGTGAAACACTAAGCACTTACAACACCACCAAAGGGCAGAAGGAAAAGGAAAATACCACAATGGCCAAATCTGCCAGCTGTGTTTTTCTCAAAAAACCTCTGCTCAGTCTTACAGTAGGTTTTATATCCTTAGCACAAAAATCTTTCACAAGTTGGATGAATACTAGCAAATAAATAATAAAATAACCACAGTAATGATAATAATAATAATAATAATAATAATAATAATATATCCTTCTCTCAAGAGAGAAGGTGGTAAAGAGTGCAAACAAATTCTAATTACAGGAGATGAAGGAATCAAAGAGGTTCATGAGCAATGCAAGATCTAGTATGTCACCTTGCCGCCGCGTTGGTGATTATTTTCAGACTGCTGGGATTACGGATCAGCTTATCCAGGATGCTGACAATCTGCTCAAACTTGGGTCTGTTGTTTCTGTCCTTCTGCCAGCAGTCCAGCATCAGCTGATACAAGGCAGCTGGGCAGTCCATGGGAGGTGGCAAGCGGTACCCTTCATCCACAGCCTTAATCACCTGCACAAGGAGAAAAGTTTGTGCAAACTTAAAGGCACTTTACAGCAACTTGGGTTTTTATCAGCTGTGAGAACGTTAACGTGGACACTGTGTGTTTAAACAAACGTGTTTATTCACTAATTGTCTCTCCTTTATCTGCAAAGTAAACCAGGCAGTCGATTAGGCATGCAGAAGGGGGAGTTAAGATACAGTGTGTGACTTTGAAGAAGGTGAGTGTGTGGAAAGGATCTCAGAAACTCACACTCACTTGAAATAAATCCACAAACAAAAGCCACAGTTAGTAAGAGCTTGCTTAAGTATACAAAACTTCAAAAGGTCCTGGATATCTCTCCTCTGATTACACTTAAAAACAACCTTTCCACATCCTCCAGTGGATGCAGAACTCAAAACACCAAGAAAAACAGCCTACCCTGCTGAAAAATCAACATGGCCCTCACTGCCATCCTCAACCAACAGACAAAAGGTCTTGAGGATGATGTCACAGGGCCACAAAATGTTTTTAAAACTTACCTCAGCTATACATTTTCTACTAGGCAGTGCAAGCCCAATTCCTTATAATTTGCCTAGGCTAATAAAATTTGTCTAGATTTTCTGTATTTTTTCCAGAAGGACACATGCAAAACTAAGATTACTTTAGAATTTATGTTGTCCAGAAGATTTTTAATCCAGCCTTTTCACTAGAATCCAACACTTCTTGATCAGGCCTACAGCATCTATTGCCCTATAAACAAAAAAACCCAATGTAGAAAATTCAATGTAGAAAATGATAAAGCCATATTCTGTTAATCTTTCCTTTTCATCTGTATCAATTAATTGAAAAGCAGAAGAAACTATTCTAAATCAGAACAAGGACAAGAGAACAGTTAATGCTTTAAGCAGCCATGAAGGAGAGGTACATAAATAGGTTAATCCTTCCATTTTAGATTTCAATGGGATATTACTAAAGACATTCCACTAATACATCAGTCTGCACAACAGGATACATTAATCTCCACAAAAACAATCATTACCAATTAAAAGAAATGCATAATTTTCTGCAGAGACTTGGGTTGCAAGGGTACCCATTTAAAAGCAAGTTTTCTTCTCTTTTTCCTTGTTTAACATAAAGTAGTACAGAAAAATGTTTGACTACAACTATGTAACTGACTTATTTATTTTAACTTAGAACTAGTAACAATATATATCATCTCCTTGGAAAATCTGCTTGTGTGAGTGACTGCACTCCATAAAATTTTGTCCATAAGAAACTCCTGTGGAATAAATCTAAAATTATTAAACAACAGAAAAAGAACTCAAAATAGACATAATAAAAAATCTTCTTTGGGGAAATGTTATGTTTCTTTAAAAAATACTGGGAGAGCTCCATTAATCATTTGGATTGCAGGCTTGGACAGTTTACTAATGTTACAAAGAAACCTGTATTGGAAGTCTAATCAGATCACTCTCCTTCTCTATTTTATCCATTGATTACTTCCAGAAGCATTTTGGTTCCATTAAACTCTTAGCAGAAATGCTTTGCTTCTCTTTTTCACAAGTGCCAAGAGCAATTTATTCTGTGCATTTGACATTTGCAGAAAACTTCCATAGGATATTATACGAGTGGAACCAAAAGGGGATCAACAGAAATTTAGGAGGGTTTTCTAACAACAAGCCAAGGAATGTAAAAGGCAATGACCTCATTGAAGCGGAATGATTTGCATCATCTTACAGAAAACCACCAATGGGACAAAATTCTCCACTCTGCTCCTTCAGAGGTCCAAAACACTCTGCTATAAAGATGGTGGTTTTTTTAAATTCTAATGAACTTTTACTTGACCAGGGAGATCCGGCGGTTTTCATCTCCACACCTTACTGCATGTCACCATCAAAAACTCAGAGCCACCTGCTCTTGGCCTCTTTTCACAGCTTGATCCCTTATCTGAGAACACAAAAAGCCAACAATTTACTCACATCCTGGTTGGACATCTCCCAGTAGGGTCTCTCCCCATAAGACATCACCTCCCAGAGGACAATCCCATAGCTCCAGGCGTCGCTGGCTGAGGTGAACTTCCGATAGGCGATGGCTTCTGGAGACGTCCATCGGATGGGAATCTTGCCCCCCTAGGAGCAAAACAAAACCAGAGAGTCCATTTGACTGTCCTGCCACAAATATGATTTCATGTGGTTGATTATTTTATCTCTGAGATTCTCAGTAATCATGATATTGGTGTAAGAAAAACTAGTGTAAGCTGGAAAACGCTGCTGCCATTTGTTATAAGTGCAAAAGAGAGAGTAAAATACATTTCAGTGCAAAATCTACTGATATCTAGATTTACCATAGATTTATCTATCTACAATATCATATTATAGTACATTACAGCATACATACTTTATAGACACACATATATATATACATATTTCATATATATATACGTAATTATGAGTGTGTAGCATAATTCACACAGATAAAAGTAAATGGTAAACCAAGTCTGGTTGATTTTCAGTTATGAAATGTTGGAAACTGCCACATACATCATTAAAGGTGAAAAAACCACTCCAAGATCCTTACTTATAACCCAGTTTCTTTTGCACAGCCCAGGAGAACTGGATTGGCTACTTTAAAGGCATTGAAGTGAATTCCCTGCATGGCTTCACCAGGTTTTCTGGGACATTCAAGAAAATAAGGGGCCATGATGTTGCTTCACTTCTCTAAAGCCAAGCCTCCAGCTGAGACAGAAAGTCAGATTCAGATGGAGTCACTTGTGCAGTGGGAAGAGTGAAAAAATGTCAGCTGGGAGAGTGGCTTTGGACATTTTTTACAGTCACAAGAGAAGCAAGTCACCATTAAATGCCAAGCTTGAAGAGAATTGAAGCTACCAGTACAATTAACATGGTAGGTAGGGGAACATCTATCTCTGGTCATGGCCACCACTTGGTGCTGTAGGTCAAGTTAATAAAATGCACATAAGGAACCTCAGGCTGAGTTTCTAAAATGTGAGAATTAGACGAAAGAGACAATTCCTGGTGATGCCAGCTTTGACAGAGTCTTTTGAGAAAATAATATCTTCTGAAAGATAGCAGCGCAGAACCTGTTCCTGAAGGCAATTCTGGAGTGAATGTGTTTGTACAGAAAACTGTGAGAGTTTAAAGTTATTTCCAGTTATGCATAACGTGTACAGAATATATTCCGAAGATTTCACACCAGACCAGCTCTTTGCAGTGCTTCTGACACCTCCATTATATTCCAGTCACACACCTCTCCTCACAACCACCTCTGGGAGAGAGAGTGCTCTGACTTCCACTGAGTAACCAGCAAGAAAAAAAGAGATTTAATTATTTTACTGCTTTGCCTACACTCTCATGAACTGTACCTGCACTGAGGGTAGCTGTACAATCATCAGCTTTAGAATCACTGGCTTGATTAACAATAGAAATGCAAGCATTAGTGTTAATGAGAAACCTAAATACAGTCTAACTACACTGAAGCATCTTCATTTTCATGGCTAATATTGCATAAATTAAAGTAAGTACAAACAACACAGGCAGTCCTGACTCAGACTACGATTTAGGCCCCCAAAATGTCACTGGATAGGCCTTAGAGGCTTGGCAAAAGTCAGGGAGGGGATTGTCTTGGAACATGGTTTTCGTGGGTCCCATTCTGTTTAGTAGAGCTCCCTACCAAAAGAAAAATCTTCATTTCCCACACAACCCTTAAAATCAGGTGATCACCAAATTTACACAGCAAAAACAGGACACAGAAGATAAACTGGAGTGTTTGAAACCACTGTTTTATCACTGAAGCCAGATGAAGAGCCTGATCTCTCTCTCTCTTGGAAAATTAATCTATTGGATGATGGTCTTTAGTCACAAAAAATACATCGTATTTTCCATGCTTTATAACTTTATTCACAATTCCCAGTGCTGCTCCAGAACAGTATCAAGAACATAAAAATGACTTGTTTTTTCTCATACTCAATTAATAAGCTCCCTTTACAAGTGTCCAGGGGCCCTCAGAGAGCCCAAGGCCCAGCCAAGAAACAAGGAAAGCTCTCCTGTAGCCTTGTGTTTTCACAAGAAATCCACTTACAGTTTTAGATGTGAGGCTGATAAAGAAATCAATCTCTCTGTTTTCTATGCTAGAAGTGAGCCCTGGTTTTCAATAAAGAATATGAATCCTGGGGGAAAGCCACATCCTAAATTTACATCAACAAAGACCCCACCACCATGAAGAAGATCGGACATCTCCCAATAGCCAGGGGCAGGAATTTCATATTGGACAGAAGTTATCTATGAAATTGGAGAAACACTTTTACAAAAAAAAAAAAAGAAAAAAAAAGGCAGCATTAATTAGTCTCCTCACATTTTGGGACTGCTTTATTGCAGAAAGATTAAAAACTCAATGAAACAACTTCTGGCTTTGCTTTACTGAAAAAAGAAGGTGCATCTACCCCAGATCCTTCTTGCAATGAGTGTGAGTCAGTGACTTTCAAATTCTCTTTGCTAAGTCTCAGCTGTAATCCTATACAAACCTGCAGATCCACACAGCATTGCCATAAATAACTCAAAAATATTAATTAAAATGTAGTTAAAAAAAGAAATCAACTGCCAGTGAACAGAGTCTAAAAGTGTAATTTTGCTCTTCTGCTCCCCAATTTGTCATATAAATGTCATAATTATTTTTAAAAAGAGATTTTGCTGACTCTTTTTTTGGAATAATTTAAGAACAAGAACAGCAATATATTTACTGATTATTTTCTGAAGATAAGTACAGTTTTTATATATTTTTGTCATGGTCTGCCTTTAAGGACATGCTCATCATCAAGCTCAGCTCCCTAAATTTGAGTAGAAAGACAGTTTTGGTGTTAGAAATTGTAGGAGTTTGTTACTTCAGCTCAAAATCCCAGGCACTCTGGGTCAGAGAACCTCTCTCAGGGTTGGAAATCAGAGAGCCAGCAGTAACCAAAAGTTTTATCTTCTGTAGATGGAGCTGCTATTCCTGCAGTATCTGTCCCTCCAACGTAATTCATCTAAAGTCAATGAAGTCCTCAATTTATTTCGAGCACGTCTGGCACTCCAGCACAAGGCAGCTGTTTCCAGGGCTTCAGAACCCATTCCAATATTCTGATTTATAATCTGTTACAGGGTGACAGCCACAGGCACCTAAGCCACAGGCCTGGGGAGGAGTGAATCAAGAAAAATGGATTCTAACTGAATTACTAGAAGGAGTTTGCAGAAAGAGCTGAAAGTAAAAGCCTGACATTCATTCATTATACCAGGACTTAGGAGAGGCCAGGAGATATCTTAATGGCACAGAACAAGAGAGACTCATGTGAGTGAGATGAGCCAGTTATACCTTTTTACACGCCTGACATTATCTGATTCTGCTTGTCAGTCCCTTACTAATGCATGTTTTATATTGAAATCATCTCCTCCTTGAGTAGTCAGTGATGACAGAGCACTGTTCCTCTCCTCTGTGCTTTGGAGCAAGAGAATTTTTGGGATTTTGGTTCCTTTTTACCACACCCTTCAATACATTCAGACTGTATCACTGTGATTTTGCACATATAGGGAAAACACAACTGATTTCTGTCCAGCACAGGCTGCATTTACATTAAAATGCCATGAATACTGGTGATGTATCTATGTGCTTAAATAGTCAAAGTTCATCTACAGATTACCCAAATATTGTCTTTGAGAGACATAATTACAGTCCCTCTGCAACTGTGATTGCTTAAATTCCCTTCCACTTTATAGTGTGTCATTAGTCCACCCACTTGTCATACAGACATCTGAAAAATAATAAGGATAAACCAGATCCATTTGAAAATGACAATTTTAATACAATCTCAGTGTTTCAATTAAAAGTGAATAGATATGGAGAATGTAGATAATTACAGCACATCCCCTCAGGCACAAAGACTCTGTGAAAAAAATTAAAAAATCCAAACAGTCAGCCTGGTTCACATGCTGGCTTCTGCTTCTGTAAGCAGGCACACCCCAGGCTGCCAAAGGCCTTTTGTGGTATCAAGGCAGTGACAATAATTCAGGAGGTAAAAAAACGACCCTCTCAGTTAGCAAAGTTCCTTACAACTCCTGATTCCCTGTAATTCACATGTGCACTTGTGATCTTTGCATTGTCCTTCAGGCTTCCGGTACAATAGCATGAATATCACAGATTGTGCATTGATATATAAAGGAACACATAAATTATTGATGTATAAAAGAATACATGTTCATAGCCTTAATGCAAAGCTTCAGACATGGCTTCTGAGAACAGCACAACATAAAATTTCACCCAGGCAGTGCTGAGTATTGAAAGCCTGGCTGGGCTTCTTTTGGGTAGATCAATCCTGACTTGCAATTATGAATTAAAGCAGTGAAATCATTCTCAGGCTTTGACATTTACAGGTGGAAAATAAGGGTAGATAAGGAGCCTAAATAGATAAAGCATCCATCTTTGCAGCTAACTTTATAAATTTCCTAGCATCACTGATACTAAATGGACAACTGGGAGTAGGAAGAACTGGAGGACAGGGGGACATCAATATAATACACACTCGGTAATGTTTGAAATTTGAGTCATAATTCAGATTTTTTTTGTTGCTTTTTTAAATATCTTGTTGTCATCCTTTAGTTTTAAAGGCATTAAATAGTTTGGACAATGCCATTATTAGGCATGAAATAGTTTGAGATGATGCTATCATTTTTAAAAAGTGGCACTATTTTTGTCCTATAATTAGTAGTTACAAAATTTGCTAAGCCTAGGAAATGGTCCTGTGTTTTGTGAAATATCCAAGCAGCAGGAACACAAACTGTTCATCTCTCTGCCAGTAGAGTAAAGCTCTGTTTCACATCTGTGATCCCCATTTTTTTCAGCCGGGGATCAAACATCCCACCTGGAAACACTCCCCTGACATCAACATAAGACTCACTTCAAAGGGAAATGTGAGCAAAAAAGATGAATATCAAATAGCCTTGTTCTTCTCTCAGAGCCAACATGTGGCACAGGTATATTCACAGCAACAACTCTTGAAAAAATAAATTAGATTTGTCCTAAGTTGTATTTGAAGGTTTTAATTATCTGAGCATCTTCCTGCAGCAGTTTGCACACACACCATAAATGCCAGATGGAGTTTACAGAACACAGATGATTACACTTCACAAAATAGTTTCTTTCCATCTGATTTCACTATCTAATTGCAAATAAGCAGGTAGACACAGAAAATAGGTGGCAGGGGAAGAGGAAGAGGAATATCACACAGAACACTGGCTGAAAACACTGACAACTTGTGCGCCCTGATTTGTCCACGCCACACACAGGCACGTCACTGATGTGACAGCTTCATTCAATGCTTCATTTTCAGCTTGATTTAAGAGAGCAAACAAGTATCTGACACAGCAAAAACACACCTATTTATTTATAATAATAATTACTATTATTATTAATAATAATATATTTATAATATTTATTTGTGCTGTAACACTACTGAGAATGAACACTGCTTTCTCCTGCTAATGTCTCTCTGTATTAACCATGCCAGATCTCTGCAGACAGTTTTCTAAAGTGCTATATATTGCATATTTCTAACTCCATGGCAAAGTTTATCAGAGGGCAAAGAAAACTGAAAGGTCAAGTAAAGAATAGAGTCTTTATGCCTGCTAAGTTACGAAGGTATGATAAATGTATCTATTAATGTATGAGTATATAATGTGTAAGAAATCTGTCATTTCTTTACTCATTTCTCATGTTATTTTATTTCAATCATGAAGAAGGCAGCATGTAAACTACTAAAATTATTGATTGCTCCTGTCAGTGTTCAGGAATGAAAGAAACCTCAGAAAACCCACATTAAGGTTATGCTGATGCATTGTAATCTGGTTTGTACAGTGAAGATGAGGTGATCACTGTGAGCAATGCAAATTGCACTTGACTAAGAAACTGGATGTTAATGTCACTTTTTGTAAAGCTTACAAAATCCACTTTAAATAGCATTAAAATAAGCAACCAGATATCCAAGTGTAATACTCATATATACATAAAGCTGAAGGCTTCCACAAAAAAATGAAAGTGTAATTCAGGGTGATATTCAGATATGCATTTTTTTGTTTTACTCAGTTAGGGGTACAAGAGCAGGTATAATGACACGCCCTTGAAGAACAGTGATTGCAGTATGCCCCATTCAGAAATATGTTTTATAATGCTAGAAAGCACAAAAACATTCAATGGGTAGGTAGGATATTTTTTTCCTGTGTGGGAGCTAAATCAGCAGTGTAACTAAAATTTCTCAAAGCACATGAAGGCTTAAATTACTGTGTGCCAAAAGAACTCTGGCTTTAATTGTAATATTCACTCCTTTACACAGTCAGGAGAAAGAAACAGAGCCAAGAATTTTTTTTGAATAGTCTAGGGAAAGTAATCTACCAACACAAGTTATACTTTTTGTATGGACATTTTCTATTTTCTCCAAGACATGAATTAAAAAATAATTGTGATGAGCTCCTGATTTATTGAGCATCTCTGGGCAGACAGACTGACTGCCCTCTGCAACACAGCTTCAGATTTCAGACTTCCATCAGATTTGAGTCTTTGCCACAACCAACAAAAATTTAAAAAAGGTAAAGGAACACAGGAACTCACCCTTGTGGTGTAAGCAGCTTCTGGGTCATCCTCCAGCACACGAGAGAGACCAAAATCTGAGACTTTGCAGACCAGGTTGCTGTTGATGAGGATGTTACGAGCAGCCAAATCCCGATGGACGTAGCCCATATCCGACAGGTACTTCATGCCAGATGCGATCCCTCGAAGCATGCCCACCAGCTGGATGACTGTGAACTGGGCATCATGCTTCTGGAAAACATTGGAAATGTCATCTCAGGGATAGCTCATGCTCCTTCCTACACAGATTTTTTCATAAATAACCTGGAAGCTCCTCAGATGAAGAGCTCCTGAGTCAGGCGTTGTGATTTAAATGCCACATGTTGGTCTCCCAGTCAGCTGAGGGAAGGGGACAGATTTGCAATTCAGATAAAAATTCATTTTTCCCCTTCTTGCTGTCATCAGAGTTTTAATTTCCTAGATGGGGCACGTGTGAAAGCAGCACATAAATCTAAGTCGTGCATGCTCCTGAGACTGGAGTGTCAGAACATTACAGAAACAGATGTCCAACTTCCCTGCAAGGCCACAGGATTTTCTAGTGAAAATCCAAGCCTTCCCCAATGGCCTAATGAAAGTTTTCTATTACACAGGAATTCATTTAACAATAGCAAATGCTGATCTGAGTCAGCGGCTTTCAAATTCTGTTAGTTTTAAACTCATTTCAAAAATTCAAAAATTACTGAAACACATTATGACTTAGCCTAGAAGGCATTGGTTGGATATATTTCCAATCATCTACGTCTGGGCATAACTCAAATCTCCCAACTCTTACTAATCCTGTTTGCTAACAGCTACTTTTGATATTGATATATGGATACATAGACAATAGGACAGCATTTGCTGTAGTGCAGCTCTCAGATGAATTCCCCAGTGCTGTCAATGTAAGGCATGGGCAGCTCTCCAGCTCCTCGTGCTGCTGCTTCTGGAATTTTATTAAATGCAAGGGAGCTGGCTCTGTCACATGAGGTGATCTGACATGAATCAGTCTGCCAGACTGATTGCATCCATTTTTCATTTTTGATTAGTGTACTTGGGGGTAATATTAGCACTGGAAACATTAGGCAAATATAAGACACAGTGGATACTTAAAGAGTCTCTCAGAACTCCCCTTCATGAAGAAATTAATATTTTAAAAGATTCTTAGCAGTTGTCTGTCCCTTTTTTATCAGAGCCAACACAAGAGAATTTTATATAGACTCTGGAAAAGATTTAGCTAAAAACCAGAAGGTTTCTAACCATGAACAGAATCAGATGCTCAGAGAGCCTCTCAATGGCAATGAGGAAAGCAAACTAAGTAGTTCCAAAAGGCATTTATAAAAAGGTTATAGGGCCTGAGTTGCCTGTGATATTAATGAGTCACAAGGTTCTTATCTATGCTTCCACATAACAGTAGTAAAAAAAAAAAATCACAGTAAAATGAAAGAACAAGCTGAACAACTGTTCTGTGCAGTCAGAAATTATTCTCCCTTCCTCAGGGCTCTCTTCAAGGATTTCAAGTCTAAACAAAATATATATAGTTCAGTACAGAGATATTTCATTCAGCTATACTGACACATTATTTATATGTATTTTACATGCTCCAGTGGACACCATAACATATACAGTACATAGAGAAACTAGGGTTGACAATCTATCCCCTTCTGGGGTTAAATGTCTAGTTCAATGTTATGAATTTGGGGGATAATGTCATTCAGCCGTGGCAGAACCAAAGCAGTCTCCCAGCCAAAGCTGAGTTTGCCCTAACAAATTAAAATTAAACCAGTGTTTCCCCTCAGATGGGATTTCACTTCTCCTGCACTCCTTGTTTTGCCACAAGTAAATCTTGGTGACGCAGGGAGCGTTTGAATTTTTTTAGGCTCACTACCAACTTTGACAGAAAACAAAGATGAATCAGCCACAGCATTAGTGTGTCTAAGGCTGGAAAAAGAAAACAGGCCAGTAAACGTTTCTAGTTAAACATTTCTAACATGCTCAGGTATGGGGCTATTCTCTCCACTCTTTGTTACTGATAAAATTTCCACAAATCAATTAATTTTGAAAATCTCTTGCTTAGACAAAGAGACTGCCAACCAATAAGCATAACTGCACTACTGTCATAATTCAGCCTCCAGAAAAACAGTTCTCATTTTTTGTGTGTCAGAATGTTGCTTTGTTTTGTTCATTTTTAATAGATATGACACACTAATGCAACCAAAATTGCCTTAATTTTGGAATAATGCTTACTGCAAATGGACCAGCAGATCCCTAAGTGGCTTTCTGAGCACATCATGATACTCACAAACCCAAATGAAAATAAAAAAACATCAAGCAACAAGAGCTGCTGATCAATCAGCACAGAGTGGCAGCAGACCCCTGACGGGTCCAGAACAAGAGCCATTTCTGCCCCATTTAGTTTCCTGTTGCACTTACTCGTAGGAAGCTGTCCAAGGAGCCATTTTCCATATATTCAGTAACAATCATAACTGGTTTACCTGGAAATAGAGCACAAGGGTCAGGCTTTTCAAAGAAACACATAGGAATACCATCAGCAAACCGAAACATTTCAGGATTGTGTCCAAATCTTCCTAACCCCAAGGATAATTTTTACATTAATCCTTTACATTTAGAAAGGAAGCAAAAGATGGGTGGGCAAACTGAGGCTGGGTGCAGACACAGATGGAAAGTGCACAGTAAAACACAGGGCACAGGAAAGAGCTGTTGGATGGGCATTCCTTCCAGGAACTCCTTTTCTCTGTGCTGGGATCCCTGACAGCAAAAAATCCCTGATCCCTTGGACGCAGCTGGGACCTGAACATGCATTGGCAAACTCTAAGAAAACAGCCCTTGAAAAGCCTTTTTTGTTCCCCCAAAACTCATCCAGATATATTCAGACCAGTTTTTGAAACCATTGCCTCCACCCTAGGGCATTTTGTGACACAACCAAGATTTTCTATGCAGCTCTGACAAGCTGGAGAGAAAGTAATGCAAAAAATCATGTGATGACAGGGAAGTTTTCAGACCAAGGTCATTGCCCTGCTAATTTTACCATCATATGGATTTTATTATTTCATAATATTTACTAATGCTTTGCTTATTTTCTCTTTGTGGTAGAGAGAAGGCTGGGTAAGACCATGAAGTTATTTAAGGAGATGAATTATTATTGCACATAAAACACAGGAAGGCATCTGACCATAAAAATAGGACAAAAGGCCTGCATATTGTATATGGGCATGGTGAAATTTTAGCTTTTAAAACTGAACAGCATGAGGCTTGAAAAAGGTACCCAGCTTAATTAAGAAGAAGAAAGCCATCAAAAAAGCTAAGTCAATGGTAACAACTTTTCTTCTGTTTGCTTTTCAAAAAGTACAGCTTCTACCAAATAGAAATCTTAGAAGAGAAATATTAATTTCAAAGAATGAATTTAACACAAGAACATTATGAATTAATGGGTTCAAATATCTTCTTTCTGTGGTACAAATGATGTGTTATACTGTGGGAGTCACACTAATGACTAATTAATTGACTCTCATCCATTCACCAGTAGGAAATACTGTATGCAAAATATTAATCTTGAATGATATGAGAGATGATACAGATAAGAGATCTAGCAATGTAAAAGCTCAAACAAAAAAAATCTATTTATATTTAGTCTTGCTAGCCTAGAAAGAAAAGAAAAAGCACTTAACTTGCACTCTGTGTGTAACATGAATTCAAAGGGATTTCTGGTAACACCCAGAATATGCTGCTGGACCTTTCAAGTACAGGGCTATCCAAAACTTTCTACGATAAATTGATTTACTTTGCCCTGCACTTTGAAGCCAGGAGACAGGTGTCTGGTTTCTGTACAAACTCAGGCAATTTTATGAGACTTTATCAGAAGAACTTAAATTAGAGTAAGAAATATATCTTCCAAATTATTACAGGAGCATCTTCCTGCCTTGCTCACTCACCCTCCAAAAGTCTAAGTGCAGGGTTTCACCCTCATTCAGTTGGAAATGTGCCCATAATAAGAATCACATGCTCTGAAGTTTTAAAAGAACCCTCTGCATCCATTTATCAAAGCTCAGCCGTTTATAAATGATAACAAGTTGTGTCAACAGCATTGCCCAGGTTTATTAGAATAGCAGGCTGCAAATTGCTGTAAATTATTTGTAAACTAAGCAGAACATGTGTGCTGGTTATTAAGACTGCTGCCTACAGTGTGCCCAGGAGTGCAGGGCAGCAGCTGGGAAATGCAGAAATCCACAAGGAGCAGAGGAAAAACTCTGCACTGCAGGTGAGGCTGGAAGCCTGATGTAGTGATAGATTTGTTAAAAAAAAAAAAAAATCAGACAAAAAATTCTCCTAACTCCCAAGCTTCTTGTTCTTCTATCACCCTGCAGAATGTCCAAGAGAACAAATAATTATATTTATTATTACATTCAGTTTGTGCCATATACTTTTGCCCAGTAAAAAGCAGCTCCAGAGCAGATTTCTCAGCTCCTGTTTTGGAGCCATCTGCAGAGGGTGTTGTACTTCTGAGGTTTTATTGGCTTCAGCAGGGAATATTCGGAGTTTGCTCTCTCACACATGGATGTGATGGGCAGCTGGCACTCCTGACCTCCTTCCCCTGCCCCCCAAACCAGACAGCAGCGCTGTGAATGCACCTGAGTGGCAAACTCACTAAAAGTCACTCACACAGAGTACAGAGAGAATTAGTAATGCACATTCAAGAGCAATGCACAAATTCCTGCCTGTACAGCAATTAAATTATTGTTCTCAAGTGCTCCAGGAATACAAAATGGAACAAAAGAGATTTTAGCTCAGCTGTGTGCAGGCTGATGCTGGCGTTTCAAGTGATTTTGTGACTGCAAATCTTATTCTGACTGTACAAAATGTGTGTCACTACAAAGCAGGAGATAAACCTCAATTTATGCAGGCAGACCTTTCCTAATAGGACTGTGAGACCTAAGATAAACAATAATTTCTTTGTTATTGAAATCAGCAAAATAGAATTTCATGAATCACACATAGAGAAGGCATTATTATTATTATAATTGTGACTCTTCATAACATGTAGTGTTTTACATACCTTTCACTAGTGACTTTTAGACATATTCTGGTGGGGTTTTCATTTCTTATACTTTTCAGCAGTACGCTATGAAATTTTTTCATGCCTATCCTTGTGAAACTTTGAATCACACAATTAAAAAACCAAAATTTTCTTCAAACTAATAAAACCATCTACTTAAACCCAAAGAGTTTGGCATGATTCTAGTCAGTTAAATTAGAAACATCCTCAGCAAATTCCAAGCTGATCACTGAAATGGCAAAGAGTTGCTTTGCCAGCAGGGTCCTCTGGGATGAACAAGAAAATATCCCACCAATTTTTTCTGCTCCCATGAAACATCTTGGAGCACTCCTTTTTTTTTTCTTCTTTTTTTTTAAGATTGCCTCATATAAAAGCTTATTCATCTCCCCCTTAATAACTAATGTAGGTAGATAAATTTGATTGCTAAATGTATCTCTTCACTCTGCAGTGGATATATAGAAAATGTGGCTAAAGAGGGTTGTTGAAATACATTACTTTTCCAAGAAGGTACCACATTTACATGGAGGTTTCAGTTAAATTTTTTTGATCTCAAAAAGAGAAGGTGATTTGTTATCATAAACAAGGATGAAGAATATGCTTTAAAAAAAAAAAATCCCAAGCAAACACATAACATAAGCACCAAAAAGCAGATTTAGAAAAGTCATTTGAGTAAATATATATATAAGGACAGAAATAAAATTAATTTTACTACTGACAGATTAAATCCTCAAGACTTCTTCCTTCTTTGAGATTTTTACCAAGATGTTTGAATTTTGGAATTCTGGAGCTTTAACATGCCTTGTGCTGGTACATATTGAATATCCTATGGATTATTTCCCCTGCAGGAAAACCATCTAGGAAAAAAGTTTGGCCTTATTTAATGATTCACTAGAACCAGTTCCTGTACTAGGTAGGCTGTTCATTAATTAGTGCTAATGACAAATCTAATGACTTAGCTGAAAGCAGAACACAGTGAAGTTTAGTGCAATTAGGAAGCCTCATCAGTCTCCATGACTCCTTATCAGATCATCACCCAGTGCCTCCTGGCCCTTTTGGAGCAATTTTGGAGCAATTCCTAACTCCAGAGTTTATTAAACCTGCCAATTTATTACTGAGCTTTTTGCAGAGCATAACCCTGGCTGATTTCATTCATAATTCACTTTTTCTCTCCTTGGACTGATCAGCAAATCAGAGAATTATTCAGGCTGGAATTCCTTACTTTTAGTGACGACTCCCTCCAGCCGGATGATGTTGGGGTGGTCAAACTGGCCCATGATGCTGGCTTCTCCCAGGAAGTCCCTCCTCTGCTTCTCTGTGTAGCCAACTTTCAGGGTTTTGATGGCCACTGAAATTTCCTTTTTAGAAGGCAGCTTCAGGCGTCCACTGCACACTTCTCCAAATTCGCCTAAAAAAAGAGAGTGGAAAAGTGAAGAAAGCTGAAATGTGGTTATTCCGTAGGGATTCAAGGAAGAACAATCAGCACTCAAGCCCCTGGAATGAGGTGTACACTGGCTTACCCTTTTGCAACATGCAAGAGCAGAGCACAAGGAAAATTATCTTAGCATTCAGAAGAGGAAGTATTAAATATATAGAAAACTGTTGGAAGAAGACATCTCACTTGAAAATTTTTTTCTGTTGAATAATTTTTACAAAGATCACATAAGGAAGTTTCAATATATTATTATTTGAGCAGCAACTGATTTCAATGCCTCTTTTCAGCTTTTCTTTTCTGAATATTTTTATTTTTTAGACAGCCAAGTTAATCAAAAAAAGGCCTGAATAAATGTGTGGTAGGGCAATGACCTTCCTCTGTTGCTAATCCAGGCTAGATTTGAGTCAACAACATAGAAATTAATGTTACCATATCTTACCACCAGCTGCTTCATCCTCTAGGCATAGAACTGTACTATCAAGGTAATAACCAGTCAAAGGAAGATCCATTTTTATGTACATATATATTGCTAAAAAGCATTGACATTACATCCTTTCATTCTAACACTGTTTGTATTTCAGGCTGCCAAGACAGGCAGCAGCTCAAAAAAACAATTTTAAAAGCTGTTACTAGTAACTAAAGGGAGTTGAGTTCTTTTCAGACCTAATTAAAAGCATTCAACTTCTGCAAGCCCAAATGACCATTATACTTTACCAGGAGTTCAAACACTAACCCCAGCTCAATATTGTCAGAGCACCACAAAATAGGAAGACCAAAGCACATTTTGAAAACAGAGTGAATGGGGAAAAATGCTTGAAATAAATCTTGTAGCACCCTGCTTCCAAGTCCATTTTCTTGATGTTTTAATGGTCCAAAAAGCTATAACAAACTAAGGTCTTAGAACTGTTTTACAGTTACTGTCAATGGAGACTTTAGCTATGATTTCAGCCAGCAGCCCAGCAATCAATCCTTCATTTTGAAGCTGGAATCATGTATCTGATATTTGTTTAACTTCTGGGAAGGAAAAGGTTATGGGTAATGTCCATCAACACAGTCCCATTCAGCCATGGCTGAACAACTCAGACCTTGAGTGATTAATCAGATTCCAAAAGTACCTCAAGGCCAGCAGATGCTGCAAGAGAATAAAAGATGGGCTCTTTCTAGCAATGAAGTTTGCTGCTGTCTATGGATATAAAGCAGGTTCACTTTCTTGGAAAATGATCCCTGTAAGAAATGGACTGGGTCTCACCAGACACTGCTTAGGAGAAACAAGGGCTTATGCTTGAGTGGAAAACCTGGCACTGACTGTAAGATGCGAGGATGATGGCTTTTCATACAAAGCCTTCCTGAGGTGTTTATTTTTAATTACACCCCACACATAAAGATTGAACAACCTGCCCTGCTGACTGGTGTGTCTATTTACATGTGGGAAGCTGATAGGGATTATTTAGGAGGGCTGTTCATGGCACAAAGATCTCCCTTCAGGATATTTTAATTTCTTTTAAAAGAGGTTATTTAGTACATCAGAGGATGGTGTTTGCTGTGCATTTAGACTCAGGGGAACAGTAAAGGAAGATTCTGTGAAATCAGCTACTCCTTCACTCTGCTGCATTTTAAATCTGTGCAGAGAACCCCCTCAGATGTGGAGAGGCACCAAAGTTCAACATTTCATAAACCTTGGGAACATCAGCCACGTTCATTGGGACACTGCAAACCTTCACAGTAAGTTTATAGACAGGTAGCCCCTGAATTTTGTGAATAATTTGTTTAACAAGATGTTATGCTATAAGTATATTTCTTCTTTGGAAGAAAAGCAAATGCTTGCTTTCTTGTTCAGCAAAGCACATAGTTAAATCCACCCCAAATCAATAAAGTACTTTCTTCAGTATTCTCCTACTGCCCAGTTGGATTTAAACTTCTGAAGTGGTTTGTTGAACTGAATCCATAAAAATAAGTGAGTTATTTTAAAAGAAAAAATTACTGTAACATAAAGTCTGAAAAAGTGGCTTCTGACCTCAATTTTCTTATGCTTAGCCTCCCACTAAAATCCCTTGTGTTTTTCTTGAGGTTCTTTTGGATAAGAATATTTCCTTATTGCATTTGTGTATGCTTTCAAAGCTATGTAAGCTCTGAAAACCCTCTCTTCTCAGAGACTTCTGGCTAAAGCTGTGAAAAACTGCTCAGAGCCCTTCAGAATGTCGAGACTGCCTGCCTGACTTGAAGGTCTCATTACTTACGTCACACTCCAGAGCAGTTAAATGAATCCCTTCTTCTCAAATCCCTGTCTTTTTTTTTTAATATAATTTCATCCACACTTGCCTTGCAAAGGACAAGGGCAGGAAGAGACCAAGACATTCACTCAAACAAGGCATTGACTCAGTAAGAGGCAGGAAATGCCTTCCTGGTTTTGGGAGAAGTGTTCCTGAAGAAGTTGCCTCAGAGCACTCTGAATGTGAAAGCTACCACGTGCTGAGGGTGATAGCAGTGTAAAGTGATGCCACAAACTCATTTTGGGTGCTCCCAGCCCTCTGTGGCCTGATTTTCATCTGTTCTTGCCTTCCTGGCTCTTCCTGATGGCATCTCAAGCAACTGCTAAGAGGAAATGTTAACTGTAATACCTTAGGTGCTCCAGACTATATGAATTGAGTTATGGTGCCCAAAAAAAAGGTGTTATTACAGCTTGAGTGCAAGTTTTAATGTAAAAAGCTTTCAAGAACCCTCTGGCACTTGGCTCAGTTGGTTTGAGCAGGGTGCTGGTAATGCCAAGTCCAGGTTCAACCCCTGTGGGCACCATTCATTTGAGGGTTGGACTCACAACCCTTGGGGGTCCCATCCAATCCAGAATAACCTGTCATTCTCACTGCAGTGGACCAGGGAGGCTTTTAAAACATCTGACCCTACAAAATTTTTCCTCTGTTTGCAGAGGCCATATTTGACAAATTTTGATTTACTTCTTATTCTGCTGTGCATCCTGACTAAAATCAGGTCAGAGCAACCAAGCTGTAAAACCTGGCATGATCCTAGGAACTCCTTTTCTAGATTCATATATTGCACACAGCCCAAATTTACAAACTTTGCATTTGTGAGGCTCCTGAAAGTCTTGCAAGGAAACACACTGCTCCTGGACTTTAATTTAGAGTATTCTTCCTTCTCCATCTCCACACAAATTCCCTGCTATGTGCAGTAAGCAGAGCTTTGCTGCCTTGACTGAAGATAATGGAGAACAGTGCACTCTTGTGGGGCAAAATTAAATCCAGCAAGGAATATGGATTCCATCTTTCCATAAAATAACTTCAAGCTAACAACAGTTGAGTAGCTTCAGCAAGAGAATATGAAAACTGTTCCTTTTGTTTGCTGGTGATTCAGGAGATGCACTAGGTGCAGTACCTTGGGTTCTGCACTTTTTCCAGCTGAAAATCTTTTGCTGTGCACTCAGAGTCTCTTACATCTCATGGTTTTAATTCAAACCACATACTTAGAGAGAAGCCAAAAAAATCAATAGTAAAGGAACAAGTATTTTTCAATGGATTAAAAATCAATAGTACTCCTCATAAATGCTTTAATATAGGAGGAAAGGCAACACTCCATGATCTCCTGGCTCAATGAGACAATCTGCCACTTCACTTCAAGGAGCAAGCACACATTCCATCAGGAGCTACGTGCCCCATTGCAACACTTGTTGTAATGAGAATTTCTGTAATCTGGCTCCTCTGATACAAAATCTGATCATTTCACCAGCTTGTTTCCTGTAAATCCAACAACCTGTGGCATCTTTATGGCTCAGACAACCAGTTATTGGACAGACAACCCTTTTCTCCTAAATCAATAATTCAAATCCCAAGCAGTGACCAAAATCAATCCAATGGCCAAAGGTCACTGCAGCCTGATGGATGCGTGGTGACTGCTATGAAATGAGTTTGTGGTTTCACTCAAGGCATAATAGTCAAGAGTCCTTTTATGGGGAAAGAGAAAAAAAAAAAGAAAACATCTTCACAGTTGATAACATTTTCTGTGCTGACAGATTTTTAAGAGAAAGATAGAAGTGAGGCAGAATGATCTTTTCCCTTCCAACAGTGGTGCACTCAAGTATGGGCTTGGTGTCCTTTGAGAAGCTGTCTTGCTGTCTCCTTTCTTTTGGGAAATAAAAGAAGTAGAAAATTGTGTGCCCTTAACTTTGCACTAAAATCAGCTGCAAATGTGACCTGCTAATTTGAAGACTTTCTAGAACATTTTCTTTCCAGTAACAACTATGAACCTAAAGACATAAAACAGTATATACACAGCAAAAATATATCTTTAATTCAGTATAGATGGTGGTCATTACCTGCTCCAACTACTTTATCAATGGATATATTGGAGGCATCCAGTTCCTTGGCAAACTCATGTACAGCTTGGTTGGGATCCTCATATGTGTGTGGATCTACATAAGTTCTCAGACCTGGGAGTTTTACTGTGTAAAAACAAATTCAGAGAGAAAATGTTACTTAGACTTGAAATAAAACTCATGAGACAACAGAAACCAAATCAATAGAAGGAAGAAGAAGGAAAGAATTTCCTTTGAAGAAGTAAATTCTTCAAACCAAACTGGTTTTTGTGGGTCCTCAGATTCTTTGTACAGTGTGAAACCAGACACTAATGCAGAGAAGTGCGACAACCTATTTCAAATATCTGCAATTTAAGGCAACATTTAGATGCTGCCTTAAATTGACCCTTCCAAAGTAACAAAAAAGGGGCAAGGAACAAAATGTGTTGCTACAGTCAACCTGACAAGTTCTTAGGGAATATATTAAGAAATCAGATTAACTCTAGCTTTTTTTTTTTTCCTAAGTCCATCAACAAGATGCATAATAAGAAACTTATACATTAAAAAAATGCATCTTTGCCAGAACATTCAAGGATAGCAGACAATTGTTCTGAATAAAGGCTGGTTCTAGAGATTTGTTCCCCATACATCCACGTTATTGTTTTGGGCATCTCTAGAGTTTCTTGGCTAGGGATTGCTGGAAGAGATCATTGCCAACCTTTGCCTCCAACAAAAATGCTGAAAGCAAAGCACAGCCTCATCCCCCCTGCCCAGCTCAAAGCCTTGCTTGTGTTTGCACCCAGTCCCTTCTGTGCCTGCCTCTCTTGTACTCTTTTTACAACAGGAATATGTTTTATTAACAAAAAGTGAAATACCCAGCTTGAAGTTTTCTGCTTCTGACACAAACCCTACATTCCCAGACATGTATTCCAGCTTTCCCTAACTGTACCAGTAGGTCTTGTAAAAGATATTAACTCCTTCAACAAACACTGCTCTGACCCACTCAGTAATATCCTTTCCAGCTTAGCATTATTATACTGCAGCAACTTTTTCACTGCTAAAATAGTTAAACCTTTTTTTGCTGGGGTTGCAAAGATGTGGGAAAAAAATCTTTGCACAGTGAGAGCACAGAATTGTTTTATCAAACAATGCAAAGTGTATGAGTAAAAAGAAGAAACCCCCCAATTTTATGAGGATTTATTGGTCTCAGAATATAATCATACCAGTTATAACAACTGGGTAACACAGCAACAAACAAAAAAAATGATAAAACTGAATTCCCAAGCTAATTGTCTTGAAAACAAAGCAAAGCGAGAGCCATTCTCCCAACACAAGGGCTGTGTGTGCACAGCCTTAAAAGCCAACTCTGTTTCCTTCAAGAGCCTGATGATTACAGAATTACCTGCAAGTAAAACAAAAAGTAATTGGCTGTATATTGCTGTTGGTTAAAAATCTTGTAAATGCTCCTTCCCGTCCATGCTGAATGTACATTACAGGCCCCCTCACATCCCCAATAAAAATAACAATTAAAAGCTTCTGCACTGTGGGGTTTTTGGCTTGGGATTTTTAATGCTGACCCCAGAGGTTCCCAAGATCAGGTGATGGTGGCTGCAAGGAGAATAATCCCTTCACACCAATAATTAAGGGCAGCCTGTGCAGTAACTGGGTTCTGTCATGAAATACAGATAATAAACACGTGCACATGTGTTAAGCTGCACTACTTTACAGCTCATTCTGTGCAAACATAATAATTTACATTTTCATTTTAACGGCACAAATTGCCCTAAAGGTAGCAAAAAAATAAAAAGGCCCAGCCAGAGGAGGCAAAGGGAGAGGATCTGAGGAGGTGAAACATTTTTGTTCCTTTGAAGTAATATTATAGGATTTGTAATAAGGCTGCAGGGAATAGCTCATGGCTGGAGCCTTTTTAAAAGTAATTCAGAGTAAACTGACTGAAATAAACCAGCTGCTGTGTATTAGATGCTGAAAGTTTACGACAGCCATGGAAGTTACTTTGTCCTTTTTCAGTTCATGGGAGCAATTTTCTTACTTTTTGGGAATTACTGTAATTTGGTAGATTGAAAATTTCAACAGCCACACAGGTACATACTTCCAAATTGTAACAGATAAATATCTGCAAAATCCATAATAAATAATTTTCAAGAACTTCTAACAGACATACCAGACTCATGATTGGCTCTGGTCTTATTGCATAGTGAATCAGCATGGCACTACTCAGAAAACAGTACATAAATATCTAAAGCCAAATTAAAAGCAATTTAATCCACAGGAATTTAACAGCACTGCCATGTTTAAGAATAGTGATTGCAACTTTCCATTGTGTGGGAGCAAGGAGAGCAAATTCTGACCTGTTATTTGTCTGTGACACTTATTTTACTGGCTGCTTTTATTTTATAACCTCATTAAATTTGGATGATGAAGCATTAATTCTATGGGCCACATGTAACCTTAGAGATTTTTTTGAGAATAGTTGGTTAGCAGTTGTTGGGCTGCAGCTTGTGTATCCCCTGACGGTGCTGGGGAAGGAGACAGAAATTGTGGATATTCCTGCTCTTGGCTCTCTGGAGATAAGGAGAGGCAGGAAACTTTAAAGAACAATAATTTGAACAGTCAGAGAACAGTCATCCCATTGTCAGGAGGCTTGGGAAGCAGCTCTAATTTCTACCTACTGCAGGTAAATCCCTCATTAAAATGTTAATTCACTTATATTGGGGGTGGGGCACCTGATTATGGTACCAGCAGCTCTTTTCTTGCAAACAGCAGAGTGCCAACATTGTGTGCAAAAAACCCCACAGATATTAATGTTACAACATGCTAAACAACAGAAATACATGGCTCAGCCATGGTTTACAGGGTGTAGCAGGACACTCATCTGGCATTGAAACAGTTTCAAAGATGAACTACTGCTTCTTATTAAACAAAGCCTCATTAGATATCAAGAATTATGTAGGTGAAAAAAAATATTTTCTTGTCTTGGTGTCTATTAGGGGCCTTATCTTTGCCTGTAAGGATTTAAAACTCCAAAGAACAGTGATTAAATGAAAAACCAACCAAGTAATCCTCCCATTCCTGATCGGGAATTAGGCTATCACCTTCTTTTCCCCTCAGCTTCTCCTGCTCCAAAACTAATTTTTTTTTTCCTGTTTAAAGGGTGTATGGATGGAGCTTTGCCTGTGAAACAACCTTTAGGATTCACAGCAACAACCTTTAGGATTCATGGAAAAGTGTAACAAAATTACGCACATTGCAAAGGGGAACCAGAATCAGGTTATTACAATTATTTGTAGGTGAACTTTTTCAAGCAAGCAATTTTCACAGCAGCTTTGGTGTTCATCAAGATGGGTATAATTTATTTATATTTTGCTTTGGGAAAGGAAAATATATTTCTTAGACTTTATATAATGAGGAAGATGCAGTTGTACTCTGGATTTCAGTGCTGCACAGCAGGATAAATATTACAATTCCAAACACATGCATTGTTTGAACATAGACAGGGATGTTTTGCTCATTACTAACCCGAACACAGATTAAAGAAGTTGAAACAAAGAATAATTGTTTGGGGAAAATCCCCTTACCCACAAGAGAAGGGATAATTCTCTTCCTAATTTCACCTTGGTTTAAGTGAGGTATAGCTCTTTTTTTTTTTAATTGAAAAATATCAGTTTCCTAGGGGAGGAATTCAACAGATCTGGAAGCATTAAAAGGCTTCAGTAACTTACAGTGGCCATTCCCAAAATGCAGCCTTTTCTCATCAGTGCCATGTTTAGACTTTTTGTATCCACAGAATCTACAAGCAAAGAGAAAAAAAAAATTAATACAGAGAATTTTATGTGTTAACTGCAGGTGGAAACAGAATTGTGCAGTTTTCCCTGCACAATTAAAAGCCTGTTTGAAAGTTTAATGATATTTACATTCTCTGTGCCCTATAGAGGCATGTGATGTTCTCAGGGAATTTGAGGAAATTGGCTAATGAGAGGATTTGTTGATTTTTGACCCCTACAGTTTAATTTTACAATTGCCTGAGAATGTGTTTATAGCATTTTTTAACAACTGCTGCATGATTTGGGCTGCTAATGTGAGCGGGCTCATTACTGACTGTGAGCAGCGCTTGGAGCTCCTGGGCAGCAGACAAAGGATTAAAAAACAGCCACACCATGACACCCCATGTGCCACTGTCACCAGGGCCCCGCTGGGATGTGGCAACAGGAGAAAATGTGCAAATCAGACCGCAGACTCACCTCCCAATCAGGACATACACCACCACGGTGAGGAGGATGATGGCCACTGCTGCTGAAATGGCAATCAGCACCACCTGGCTGTTCTCACTGGAGATGGAGAAGGCTGCAAAGGCAACACAAAAACATGTAAATAACCTCACACACACACCTCATTGGTGACATGAGAATTTACATGCACACAGGGGACAGACATCATTATATAGCATTTGGTCTCCTGGCAGATATTGAATCCAGGACATAATTTTTCATCAAAAAAAATAAGTGCAAGAGAAGAAAACTTAAGACTCCACCCATCTTTGCCTATTTACCAAAGCTGTTTCTGCTACTCTCAGTCAGTACTTTTGCTAATTGTAGCAACTGTTGACAAACTGATGCTAATATAAAAACATATACATAAATACAAAGATTCATGTCATGTATGCCATACATACTTTATGTCGTGCTCAGTAAAGAACACTTCCGTGGCAAGAAATCCCACAATCATCACCTTCACTTTCCCTTCTGTATGATGGTCAGTGTTTTTAGGAGCTGAGTTTCCCAGTAAAGCCTGACAATATCCACATGAAGGTTGTGGAAAGCCAGGGCATGCAGGCACAGATGTCTACAGGGAAAACAGGGGAATTTTCTGCCTTATTTTGGATATCTCCCTGTGGTGCCTGAGCATGGAACTTTACAAAATGAACTGTTACAAAATGATAGGATGGCTTTAGACCTTTGGTGTGAGAACCAGCGTCCAGCTACCATTTCTGACCTAGACAGGTTAGAGAGCCTCTGTTTAGGGTCATAGCATTCCCATTTATGCCTGTTACCCACAGCTGCACCTATTTATGATAACTGGGTAACACAGCAACAAACTCATGCCATTTGTTGGTCATCTGTGTAATTTGTATGCTTCTTATTGAGATGTGCACCCCTGTCTCCTTCCACATTTCTATTTTTTCAATTCCCCCTTCTTTTGGTAGCATTACTTTGCAGAGAAAACTCATTAACCTCTAAACTGTTAGGCTTTTAATCTCTGCAACTATTTTCTCCTCCCTATTGTAATTGTCCTAACTTGGGTTCTAGTTTCAACCAGAACACCAAAGCTGCAAATCACTATAACAGCAATTTTTAACTCTTTTTTTCTAAACATGAAGCTTGTTTGCCTTTCAGAATAAGAACTGGGGTGGAGAAGGAAGAAGTGTGGATGAAATACATAATATATCATAAATATACACAGAATCAGGGTGAAAGATTTGGCTTGACACTACTCTGTTTTTCTATCACACCTCCTCCCTCAGCAAGAGCCACAGTCTAGCAAGGCATCAGTTCTGGCTTGAGGTAGAAGTAGGGTAGGGAATGGAAGAAAACACCACCTGTGATAGTTCTGGGATAGAACTTTCTTTACAGCCTGTTTCAAGTTTAATGATAAAACATAAAGTTATCCAGCAGTGCTACCAAGAAAGACACATCATAAATAGTTATGAGACACATTTCCTCAGCTAGAGCAGGAGTGAAAGCAGCCATTGAGATCAGTCAGGAACTGGGCAGGATGTCAGCAAAAACCTTTTGAACAGATACATACAGTCTGGGCTGGTCTCAAACTCAAACTTGCGGCTGCTGGTGCCGTATCCAGCTGCGGTCCTGGCTCGGATTTGGAAGACATAGGTGGTGTCAGGCTTGAGGCCACTGATGGTCACGTTGGTGCCCCTGGCTCTCAGAATTGTATAGCTTGTCTCTTGTTCCTGCTTTTGAAAAAAGACATCAGATTAAAACCACACCCTAAAAAAAAAAAAAAAAAAAAGAGGTGGTTGGTTCTAAATTACTATAAACGTCCTGGAGACCACTGGTGTATTTTTGAATATTTTCACCTAACAAACACTTGTGCAAACATTCATTTTCAATCATCTTTTAACAAGATACCTTAAATCATCAGATTTGCCATGGTATTGTGCAGTAAATTGAACACTAGACATGCTGAATTTATGACATTTTACTAAATGGTTTTGCATCATTTTGTCAGTGGTCTGTAATACAACAAGAAAATTATTAAAAGATTATTAAAAAAAAAACATAAATCAGATTTGCCTAGTGCACTGAACTGGAAGTTGTAACAGGACAACTTAGACATTTTAGGGCCCTGCAGAGCTGTTGCAGGATGCAGTTTTTACTGCCTCACATTTTACAAGACAGTGGTTACCTCTATAACAGTCAGAAGGGAAACCCCACTCAGGCTCCTCAGCTCAACAAAAAGGCAGATTTAGCTGGTTTTCTATTATGCTATAAAAACTATGAGATAGTTGTGTCCATCCTCATTTGGACAAAACCACACTGAACTCAGTCCTGGACTATGTTCATAAACCCTTCTCTGCTTAAGAGTCACCTATGTCTGACATAATGTTCTTTATACAAAATAAGAGGAGGACTGGTTTGTAATTTGGTAAGTTTGGATACACTTCACACTGTGTAAAAAGCTAATCCTGATAAAAGTATGTCTCAGTCTCACTGTAAGCACATAATCTTAACATCTAAGCATGCATATGGGGCCTGAGGTACTGCTTATTTTACTAAAGCCATCTTGTACCAAAAGAGCATTTTTGGCTTCCTAAATATGGCAGCTGGAACTGTCTCAGGAAAAAAAAAAATGCTCTTGGCCAGCAGCCACACATATGGGAAACTGTGAGAATCTCAATTGTTTAGGTTCCCCAGCATGAACTTTTTTTTATTCTGGAGGTGGTGGGGATTTCATGTGATGTCCTTTTGCTTTGAGCCCCGTGCAGAACACTGCGGCCATTGAAGGCGGCCGGGCTGAGAGCGGCAGCCCAGCGCGGGCACGCCGGGTGCAGAGCATCTCACCCAACCCTCACCGTGTCCATGGCATTGCATTAGCTGCTCAGGGGCTGACATTTTCACTCTGACAGCTCTGCAGTGCCAATGCACGAGCTCAGGGGCTGGAAAGCACCCAACACACTCATTGCCATTTCACCTCCAGGTGTAAAGTTCAAGTGACTGGAGTTGTTTTAGTGTGTTTGCTCTGCTGTCTGCAGGAATAGAGTCAGGATATTCTAGGTTAGTAGGTGAACATCAGAAACTGCTCACTTTGGTGCTAAAGAAGACTGAGTGCCCTGTTCCTGGCAGTACTTTGATATACAGAAACAGAAACATTTACACCATGGTTAGGAAAATTGCCAGAATCTCCATGTAGTATTCAACATTATGCCCATGAGAAATCACAATGAAAGGAAAAAAAAAAAAAAAAATAAAAAAAAAAAAAAAAACCAGCTAAGTGCCTAAAAGTTACCATCCAGAATCTAAACCTCAGATAGAGTGAGCTGGACCCAGTCTTCAAAGAATGACTATAAAATTGTTGACCATGGCCCATTTTCTTTGCACAGTAAAAATAAAAAGGAAATCAGCATTGGACCTCCTCAGAGTTTCCCAACACTTCTCTAAAAAGTTCTCTGTTCTAAATTCAGGGGAGCAAATTTACATGAAGACACTGTAAAGAGCTAACAGGCTTGTGTGAAATTATTTATTTTTGAACTAACAAAGGCCTAGTATTATAATTTGCAGGCTTTCCTTATCTCATCATTCAGTTGGATGTAGGCAACTATTTTAATTTCAAAGACATAATAATCTTGTCTTTAAAACACAACATCTTTTGTGTATGCTATGACTGGACATTCATTTTGATCTCGCTTCAGGCTGCTTTTATGAAATGCAAACATTTCCTTCTGGTGCAGATACATACGTGCAAGGGAAAACACAGTCATGGCCCTGTCTGTTAATAATCCACATTGGAACTTGGAAAATAAACCTTTAAAACAATGGTATGGAGGATGTCATGGTATCTCAGTTTATGGGAAGCTTTTTACACACATATTTTGTAAGTCATTTTTTATGTTCGTAGTAATCAAATCAGCACAACACCACATAAAAGCCCAAGTTTATCTTTCCTGGGGATAAAGCAAAACTTCAGAGATACAGCACTAGAGCTCCCATAAGCAGGAGGAATACACAAAAAGGAGACTCAGTCCTTGCCAAGCAAAACTTCAACCAAACACTCTGAGGATAAATTTGAACTTGGATGCACAAAGCAATTTCTTCCTGAATATTTCTGCATAGTTTATCAGACACAACCTTTGCTGGGACGCAAATCCTAATGCTCTTAGGGTCTCATTTGCAAGTGACATTTTATAATTTTACACTTTGTTTTACAAAAATCCTATTTTGGAGACATTTTAAATTGATACCAGGAAGGGTGAAAGGTTTGCCCTTTTCCAGATAAGCACAGAAAGTGCTTATATTATAGAAGGAAAAATATTTTTTCCAACAGCTTCACGTGCATTTGAGAGGACAAAACCTGAGTACACATTTCTAGGAGGAGGCCACACTCCTGATACTGCTTCCCTTATTTCCAGAAGTGAGCTCTGCAAGGATATGACATTTCCTAAAAGTCTTGTGGAGTACTCATGGTCTACCTGCACTTAAAGCCAGAATAATTAGAGTTCAAAAGCAACAAAGTGCATTTGAATATAATGCACTTTTTCAGCCTCCAAGTGCAGAGATCTGTATTGGCTGTAACCACTGATCACACAATTCCTAGGATGGCAAAAGCAAATCTATTTTAGTAACCTGAGCCTGCAGCTGAATTTCATTTATTGTTTGCAGAAGACTCCATCTTAATAAAGAGTACGTGATTTAATTGTACGCCACATATTTAGTTGAAACAATCAATAGTTTATGAGTGGTGTTTAAGAGATGGCTTTCTTCTGTACCTTCACATGACAAGATACTCCTTCAAGAGAACCTGATTATGTGAATAAGGACAAGGAGGAAACAAGAACAGGGCTTGTACAAGGGAAAACATGGCTTTGTTATTTATGCAATTTGATGGATGAGACACTTAAAATTCAGCACAGCATTATATGGATGAACTAAACTGAGGTGTCATTTAGTACTATTACCTTAACATAAAATGTTATGCCTTACCATAAAGTAAATGCCTAAAAATTCCATATGGTCTCCCTCTGAGAGATTTTGTTTCTTTTAAATGTTTTGAATAAATATTGACTGGGGCTTCATAATAAAGCTCTAAATTGTATTTTTTTGCAAAAATACAATTCTATTCCAAATACTGCTGCTGAAAAACTGCCACTCAGTTCATCATGCTATGAAGTGCCCAAAGCCTGGTTGGAAGCTTTGGACAAACTGGGATAGTGGAAATTACCCCTGCCTACAGCACAGGGTCATGGATGATCTTATAAAGTTCCTTTCCAACCTAGGCCATTCTGATTAATTCCAAGGAGTTGAAATAGTTTCCTAAAGCTGTAGCTACTAATTTCTTGAGACACATATAAAGCTCTGCTGTTTCAGCTACACAAAGGCAATAACTGATGAAAAAACCCCAAATGAGCAGGGTAATTAACTGCCCTTGAGAAACTGAATATATTTCACATATTTTATGACAATCATCCATGAGAAAAAACTACAAGATATTATAATTTATATACATGACATTGTATTTTTTATTCCGAACCTCTTGTAATATCCTAAATCCTTAAGACCAGCTTAGCAACATAATGCCATGAACAAGATGTATGACAGAATTGGGCTGACCTGCATTGCTCTATTAATGCTGTTTTTTAATTTCTAAGAGATGACAAAAGACATATCAAGTGAAAACAAGCAGGATGAAAAAGGATGGCTCAACACAAACCATTTACCAGCAATCAGGTATGAGTTGTCAGGAGAAATATCCAGATTTGCTAACTCTGAAGGGTTTATTTCCATTTAACAGCAGTGGATTTTCTGATGAGCACAACCGAGATGATTTCTGAAGCAGAAAAATCAAATGGACTGGACCAGTTTGAAAAGAAACCTCTCCTCTCCAAAGAGGAGGGAAGGAAGTACACTCAGAGACCCCAGACTGAAAAGCAGCATCTTTCAAAGGCGTTTAGTGGAGGAATGAAGAGTAACAATTCTGCATGAGCTGCTCTGGCCTCAAGTAAGTTTATCAGAGAATTAGTTTTGAACCTATTTGCAAAGCTTAAAAATACATAGATTCAAGTCTCCTGACAACAGATTTGCTTTTTACTTTTTTTTTTCCCCCCTCATAAACCCTGAGGAATAGGCTTCTGACTCCCCAAGGGCCTGCAGAACACACATTAAAAACGCTGGTGCCAGAAAGGTTGGCTTTTTAAAAGCCTTTTGCTCTAAATGGTCTGGCTCCCATTGTCAAGCACTTTTCTCCCTGGTTTAAGAAAACTGTCTGGTGCATATGAACTCTTGATCACAGACTTCAAAGGGGAGAAACACATGTGCAAGATCAGCCCCCTAAGACTGGTGGGCTGTCTTATAAAGCTGTCTTCTGACAACCAAGTGCTCCCTGAGAGTGGATACACCCGGTGGGAATAGGAGCTGTGTGCTCTGTCTCTGCATAAAACAGCACTGCACGGCAATTTTCTCGAACAGAAAACCCCAATTTTGGTGCAGAAAGATGATCAAAACATCCCAAACCAACACAAATTAAACTTATAGGTGCCTTAATTAAAATTAACTGAATGTGCACAGCAGGGGGAAAACTCTCTCCCTTTGGGGCAGTAAAACCCAAGAGATCACCTGTGCTGTTTTTGGCTGGGGTGGAATTAATTTTCTTCACAATATCCAGCTGTAGCTTTGGGAATTGCACTGAAAACAGACAGGTTTGATAATAAAGAGATATTTTTGTTATTGCTGAGCAGTGGTTGCAGTGTCAAGGCCTCTTACACCTTTCCAAAGAGGAGGCTGGGGGTGGGCAAGGATTTGGGAGGTGACAGAGCCAGGACAGCTGATCCCAGCTGAGCACATGGATATCCCATCCCAGATGGCACCATGCTCAGCTTGTAAGGCTGGGATAGAAGAAGGAAGAGGAGGATATTTGGAGTGTTGGCATTTGTCTTCCCAAGCCCTGCTTTCCTTGGGATGACTGAAATTGATCTTGTCCCAACTGAAATTAAAAAAAGAAAACAATGTGGAAGCCCACAGACGCTGCTCCCCTAAGCGAGACTGAGCTGAAATGTTTTGGATGATTTTTTTTTCCCCCATTATCACCAGCATGTGCTATGTTTAAATTTTTACCAAAGCCTTTGAAGGTTCAAGTGCTCAGCAAAAAAACTCTTCCCAAAATCAGATTACATAAATTTGGGAGAAATCTTTCAAGCATCCAGCCTTCTGATCCTCTTTCTTCATCTGAAGATCAGGCATGAGCTACCAACACCACATTGTCCCCCTCCAAACCTTCATGAAAAAAACATTTCTAAAGATTAACTGAATACTCATGGAGTATTTTTAAAAGCATTTTTTAGAGGATATTATCACTACATCTTCACTGGTATAAAGCCTGATTATTAGATATGAAGACTGTTAGCTAATGTTCAATTAGCTAACCAGAAATCTGGCATTTTTTTCAATTTGTTAATTCCAGGAGCAATATATAAAACAGAGCTATCATTAGATCTATAAAAAATTGGCTAAACCACACTCCTCAATCTCCATGGCAATTTATGATATTTTCAATTCTACCAGTAAGATCTGCTAAAAACATACTATTACAAAGAATTTTTTGTAAGTATAGATGTCTACAGGATGTCTAAATGAACAGTTGTAAATAAAAGAAAATGTCAATAAAAAGCAGAAGGTAGATTTTCTTTCATTTGTAGTCATTTGCTTGCAATTTATGAATAACTCAGTTATTCATAGAAACAACTTCCACAGTGCAAACCAGCCCAGTAGGCCAGCCAACATTTTCCAAATAATTTTCATGTAAAAGATGCTCATGCTGCACGGAAGTGCCACCAGCATGTGAGGAAATGTATGGGCACTGACAGCATGATAGAACAGCATAATAAGGAAATTTTAGTTGAGAAAATAAGAAAATAAAGGAACTATATACTGACTGCATTACTTTGTTTTTGTTTTATGTGCTTGGGGATTCCCAATGAGGGAGCTGGGGGTGCTCAGCCTGGAGAAAAGGAGACTCAGAGGTGACCTTATCACTCTCGGCAGCTCCTGAAAGGTGCCTGTGCTCAGCTGGGGCTGGGCTCTGTCTCCAGCAGCACTGACACAGCCAGAGCACACAGCCTGAGCTGCACCAAGGGAAATACAGGCTGCATATTAGTGAAAAGTGTTTTACAGAAAGAGTGATAAAATTCTGCAATGTTCTGCCCGGGGAGGTGGTGGAGTCCCCATCCCTGGGTGTGTTTAACAAAGCCTGGATGTGGCACTGGGGGCCAGGGTTTAGTTGAGGGTTTGGGGCTGGGCTGGACTCCATGGTCTTGAAGAGATCAAGAGTCAAGGATCAAGAGATCTTGAAGGTCTCTTTTAACCTAGTCATTCTGTGAACTTGGTAGACAACACATTGATTTCACTTGGTATTTCCAGATGTTCTCATCACCAAAAACCGAGCAGTTCCAACACTCAGTGCTGTTGAGGGAGGCTGTACAAATCTGAGTGTTTCTGAACGCTTAACACAGGCAAGATGCAATGATTTCATCCCAGCAGTGCTGAGCAAACCCCTCCCCTTTGACCTTCCCACCTTTTCGTAGTATTTGACCTCGTAGTCCAAGATGATCCCGTTGGGATGCTCGGGCTCCTGCCAGGAGAGGGACACGCTGTTCCTGGATGTCCTGTCCTTCCTTATGACTGTGATGGGGGATGGAGCTGCAGAGGGGGCAGGGGGAGAGGGGAGGGAGAGAAGCAAACTGAGTTTATCTGTGTTCCAGCTCTTGGCAAAGAGTGAGGTTTTCATTTAATCCAGCAAAGGTCTGGCCCCTCACCGACAGCAGCAGCTGGATTGCAGCCGTGGTACTCCTGCCTTGGAGCCTCATGGAAAACCAGCTGAGATTTTCTCCTCCACTGGAGGAGGACTGGCGGCAAGGCAGCAGATGGTTTTGATCTGCTACTACAGTGTTAGCAATGAAATATATTCAGTGGGAAATACAGAGCAAAATAGCAGCAGTACCTGTTTGTTATAATGCTGAGGTATTATCATTACCAGACTCTGCAGAACTCTGACTTTAGACTTTGCTAACATTTTGATAAGAAGGTCTAAAAGGGGGCTGGGATGCATTAAAGTACAAGGAGCTCCTGGTACTCATGGCTGGGAATAACCATCAGCACAATTCAGCCTCTTTGGCATCATGATTTGGTTAAGTTCTCCAGATGAAAATTGCTCCCATACACACTTCACTTTTCACCACATTTCTTTGAAAATGAAAATGAATAAAAAGGGAAAATCTAAACTGCAAAATAACATAATTTTTTTATGTGCATTGATCAGGGTTAGGCATTGCAACTGATTGCATACCATAGGTTCACACACCACCCACAACGTGGAAACAGTATCAAGGTTAAACACACATAAAAAATAATAATTACTTAAGATTCTTGAACATTGGTTCAATTTTAGACCACCCAGATCCATAAGTTGTTCCAAGACCCAGTCTGGGTTTCCTGGACTCAATGAAAGCTGTGCAATTTTTAAAAATTATTTTGTTTTGTTTCTTTTGGGTTGACTTCCCACTCCAAATGCTTCTCTTCCATGGCTTTGGCTAAAATTCATCAGATTGTATTTTACAGATCACACACTGGAGGTTGTAACTGTCATTTCAAAAAAAAATCTTTCACTACTAAACAGCCTTTTATCTTAACATGTAAATAAAATCTGTTTATAAGTTCAACATTTGCTATCCTAATAAAAAGGCTCTAGAGCTGATCTCAACAATTTAGTATCAGCTGAATCCTCTGAAGCTTTTATTGTTCATATAAAACTAGCTGCACTTTATAGGCATTCCATATTTGCATGCTTCAGCCAATGCACTTTCTAAGTGGGTTTTCATTTTTGCAAAAGAACTTTTCAATAGTCAGGAGAAAAAAAATTAAAAAGAGAAGAAAATTAAAGAGAAAGAAAAGTTTTAGTTAAAATAAAATTTTGACCATTCATTCTGCTTTTGATTTTGCTGAACTTCCAGCGAAATATACTTTCTAGTCCTGAGTCATAATCTAAGTATTGAAATCCTCCTTCAACAGAGTGGAGGATCCACTTTTTCATATTCATTCCAGGGTGAACACGTTCTCTGAACAGCATTTTCACATTTCACACAGTTCACAAAATTTGAAAAAGTGGCAATTTTTTTTTTGTTTTCTTCCAGCAGGAGGAATTTATCCTGAATTTAAATTCCTAAAATCAATCTGGGAGAAGCAGACACGATTTGTGTGCAACAAACATCCTTCAGCAATTCCACTTGAATCCTGCAAACTAGTGCCAGAGCCAAAACACAAAGTGCTTAGCAGGCTACTTGCTGCTTTTATGCTCTCCTAAGTCATTTTTATGTCTTCTTTTTAAGTCAAGCTATTTATCCCTATTTTTTCTTTTTTTTTTTTTGGTATGTGGATAGATTATCAAGCCCAGTACCCAGCTGGTAACACTTCCCATTAAGGTAAAATTAATACTGATTTTATGAATAATTAATATGTGATTAACAGAAATGGCTTTTCCCCTAATAAATTATGGTAATTTTGCTCTAAAAGATTCTCAGGGCAGGATGAAACAATGTTACATGCTGCAATACAGACCAACTTTTAAAAACAAGCTTTCTCCTAACACAGTATTAATTATTTTGAGCTCATTTGCACACCACTCTGCAGATGCTACCAGAAACTTATCTCACAGCAGTTTATTAGAAAACATCTGCTCTGCAGTTATCAATAACATTATAAAACATTCATATACCTTCCCTAATCCCTAGGGCTCCCAAAGCTGCTCAGAAATGAGACATTCAGAATCTCACTGCATGGGCTCAGCGAGGGGAGATAAATAATCAAGGGAACATCATGTTTCAACCACCTTTAATCTCACACCAAGGTGAGACAAAATGGAAAACATTCCCAGCACAAAACCTTTCTTTGCAGGTTAGTGACAAGCTGGACTGTCACAGTTTTACATTTTAATGCATTCTTTTGGATTTTTTTTTTTTTGTATACCTGTTAGATAGGTGGGTTTAAAAAGTGCTAGAAGGCTTGAACCCAATTAAAGAAAATATCTTGTTCAGATAACTTCTAACTTCATGTTTAAATCTACTACAATCATTGAATTTAAGATACGGTAAGAGTTAAGGTAAACTGAATATAGCCCCAACCCAGGGCTGGGCTATAATTTGGAGAAATAACCTGACATTTGAACCATTTAATCAATTTCTTGTTGTACAAATGCTCAGAATAGAATGTAAAACTTAATAAGCTCTGTTCTAAATACTGTCTAAACAGAAATCAGCCTTAATTTCCATTTTGTAACATCAGAGCAGCTCAGTTACTGTATTTCACTATTTCATTGGAAGTGTCTGAAAATGCAACTAAGAGAAAAATCAAAGTAAAGGCAGTTAACATTATAAACCAATAAACAGTGAAGGCATCACCATGTGCAACACTGCTTAGACTTAAGTCTTTCACATGAGGGAGAGAGAATCAAGAGTTCCCTAAAGAGAATTAAATAACCACAACAGGACGAGATGGAATTCAAAATCAGGCTACAAAAAGGAAGAGAAATACATGATATTTAGAACAGCCATTTTTCATTGAATTACCATTATTTTTCTAACTTAAATTGAAAATTAAAAATGAAATTTTTATTGTAAACCTGCAGCTCTCACTGACAAAACAACTGGGTTAGCAAATAATGAGACATTTTTAAGTTTTTTAGGATTAATTGAAATTTTAAAAACTATATGACAGTATCAACAGGAATGCAAAGGTTAAATTAGTTCATCATTAAGAAAGCTTGTACCTAAAGGGAAAACTTGCACCTAAAGGTAAAACTTAAGGAGAGTATACTTTTGGACTAAGAAAATGTTTCAGTGATTTTTTATTTAATCACATGTCTCATATGCTGCCAGGTATTTACATTTTTAATGATATTTTGATTAATGTATTAGCACTCAACTTCTTCACCTGAATAGGAGCTGGGCTTTTATGACTAACTTTAGGCTTGTGTGGACATATATGAAGAGTTTTAGTCTTAGCAGCCCCATGCAATGCACAGAGAGGCATTTTTACACTTCACATGGTTCGAATTTGTCTGGCACTGCAGCCTAACTGCTCTGAGCACTTAACAGGAACCTTGAAAACTCCCTGGAGCTAAGAGGGGAAATGTACTTTGAGCGCTCGCTGTTGTTAGGTAGCATTTGTGACAACTGGGAATGTGGATGTTGAAAAGGTAACAAACACAGTGATTCAGGGAGCTCAGGCTCAAGTGTAAAAACCCCTCACTCCTGACTATTAAAGGTGCAAGCAAATAATATGAAGGATCTGCAGAGACGACAATAAAACTCTGCTCAAATTGATTTCCCACTGAAACTGACCCCAACAGATGATTTGTTTTCCTCCAGTTTAATAGCAGCTATATATAAATTTCCTTATTGACTTTTTCCTTATTCCTTGGTTATTGTTTTCATATGTGACTGGCTTACAGATGTACAAATGCACTGAAAGAAAATTCCCTGTCCTGTGACAGGGAGAACTCAGTATTAACTCTGTGAAGGCACATGTGTACAACTGCTGAAACATTTAGAGTCCTATTGTTCCTGGCTTAGCTTTCTAGGTCACAAATTAAATTTTAGTAAAGGATTTAATTCTAAAATGAATCACAGCTCACTTCCAGCTTTTGCTTGCAAACAAGAGTAAAATATGCTTTGCCTTTCCAAACTATGCTGAAAGATGGTGACCAAGCAGAATTGACTGTTCTACTCAATTTTCAACTTCTGCCCTGCTGAAAAAATGGAAGGCTTGTTCCTTTTCCTTTCTTTAGAAAATTGATGCTTTTATTCTCTAATCATAATACTGTAATCTGATATAACCTATAAATTTTCTTTAATGTCTATGATGCCCCCAGGAGGTAATGTAGAACAAGAGCAGTAAATAAAGATCATAACCTGAAAATTAAATCTGCATTCTCTGATCCAAAGTAGGATCCACTGGGACTCCAACCTAAATCTGCCAGTCTTAGAGGACCAGCATCCAAACCACAAAACTATCATGCAATTTAAAGTAGAAATAGCAGTGTTTGAATGAACAAACTGATCTCTCACTTGAAGAGAGTTTCTCTGGGACACTGGAGCCACATCCACATCACGACAGGAGAGAACTCACCATGGTGCTGGCTCTGGCACTGCTCATAATGCTCCACACACACATTTGGATTAGGATTAACGCACAACCACCCAGCATCTGGGTTTTTTGGGAACCAACATTTTATCTCTAGGTTCATCCATCTAATTCCACTACTCAATTTGTAAGAGCCCCAAGCACTGACTCACAAATCCATGTAATGATGTCACACCACCATGACATGGTCACACTACCATGAAGTCTGTGAATAGCTGTGCTTTTACTCGGAATCTTTAACACCCTCCAGCATCTATTCTGTGGATTAGTGTGGAAGGGATCTATGAGAGAAGCCTGCTCACAGAAAGCAGCACCTGCCCCGTTTTCAACCTCCTCTGGCTGCACTCCTATTCACTTTCTCTGTTAAGCACTGCTACAGGCTTGTGCTGAAGCAAGCAAGCCCCATCCCAGGGACACATTCCAGGAAGGTCCCCAGGCGCCTCCCAGGGGACAGGAGGAGGAGGAAACAGTCCCACTTTAACAACTCTTTGGAAACCTGCTAA